TAATTAGTAAATTTTATTTATTAACCTAATATATTTTTATAATAAATTAATGTAAAAAATATCTAATAATTATTTAATATTATTAAAGACAAAAATAAAGTTAAAATTAATTAGATAAATACTAATTAAAATTGGTGGAAAAATTAAAAAAACAAAAAGCAATGAATTTGTTAAAAATATTAAAAAATTTCAATCCACTAGAGTTTGGTATAAAAGCTGCCTTATGTAACTTTTTCAATCCGTTAATGATTTAAATTTTAACCGTTATTTATTAGTTTTAAATCACTAAATAAAAGTTTTAACAAATACTTAATTTGTAACAGTTCTGAAATAAATAAGTTTACCATCTTACTGGTTTAAGCAAAACCGTTAATTGTTACTTTCAAACCAGTGAAGTAAATACCGTACTAGCTGGTACGATTGGTACATATCGGTCGGTATAATTGGTACGTACCGATTTTCTAAGCAGGCCAAAATGATATAATATTAATTTTCATTTTGGTCAAAATCTGGTCATTTCGATCAAAATTCGGTGTATCGGCTGAAATTTAATGTACCGGTTTAGGCTAAGGGGCTTTTAATCCCTACAAATCTACAATTTCAGATTGCACATTGCATAGCCTTGCCATCCTTTGATTCGATCCTCTTCACCGGTGGTGCAAGGCGTGCAATTGCTGCTCCTCTTCCTTCTTGTTTTGCGAATCGGGCGCCCTAGATCTTGGACTTGGAGATCGATTCGTGGGCTAGGGGCTTGTAATTTCAGATTGAATTTCTACAATTTCTACAATTTAATATTGCAGTTTCCACTTTCTAGTTTCACCGGTAGTCGGGTGGTCCAGTCCAATCATTGCTCCTCTTCTTAATTCGTGGGCTAGGGGCTAGATCTTGCATCTTGATTCTCTTCACCCCTCTCCAACAACCTAGCTCCATCTCCAGCAGTCGAGCTCTATCCCCAACAGTCGAGCTTTGTCCCCAACAGTCGAGCTCTGTCCCCAACAGTCGAGCTCCATCTCAGTAGCTGGTATTTAATTTATAAAAATATATATTTATAGTGATAAATTCAAAACGGTACGCAAAAAATTTTGGTATATGGTACGTACCATTTTAATAGCAAAATCAGTACGTATGCCAATACGATATTGACTACTTTGTTTCAAACTACTATACCAAATGGCTCATAGATTGATAGTCTTGAAAATAAAATTAATTTTTTGTATTTTTATACTAATTAATAAAAAAATACAATTAATATATTGTTGGGTTATGATATATATTAGACAAATATTTTATTTATTAAGTATTTACAAGTACTAGTTAAGATTAAATATCTTTTTTGGTCTCTTT